AATCATTGATCGGCTGCCTCCTGTATGCCCCACCTTGGAGGATCGAGCCTGCAACCTGGGCATGTGTTCTGACTGGGAATCGGACTGTGAACTCCTGGTTCATGGTCAACACGCAACAACTGAGCCACACTGGCTGGGCTGCACTTGCTTTATCATTAATGGAAATGTTTTTAATAATCAATTTAACTTTTAACAAAATCCATAAAACTCAACCAACTTATAATTATCTGTCCCTTATAATAGAAGTCTGGGAGAACCTCTAACTGGCAATACTTTGTCACCTGCCTTATTACAGATTCCCGAAGCTAGCACAACCACATTTAAAAAATAATTAAGTGGTTTAGAATTATACAGTTCACTCTGCCCTCCTCAAGTATCCCTGGGGACTGTGGTTTCAGTAGGTTGGATTTTTCCAAAAACGACATTTAGCCTGGGAAGGTGAGTCATTCCTCTGAGCAGCTCGTACAGGTGAGCGGTCCACACCATTCGGGTCTGAGAAGGTAGACTTCCGGGTGTGAGTGGTGCTTCTACCACGCTGGGCCAGGGACTTCCGTCCCCGTATCTTTCCTTCCGTTCCAGGAAAAACATGAACAAGTAATGGTACTTGGCACAGACTTCTGTCAGCGAGGCCTGAGCACTGACATGATGCCGTTGGAAGTGGTCAGCTTTTGTTGCCTGAGTCCAAGTCTTTTTTGATGCCTCCTACAACTGTCTGCTCCTTTTCATCACAAAGGCTCTGGGTCAATGGACAGATGTTTATAATGCTGCCACAGGGTCTGTCCTGTCAATATTTGACTTAATTTTGAGGATGTAGAGGACACACTTATAACCCGTTCAGATAAGCAAAGGCCTAAAGAAAACCTGCCCGGTGAGATGACAGAACCTGGATTCAGAACGCTGGTCGCGTGGTGCAATCAGGAGAAGCCAGGGCTTGGAGTGAGAGTCCTGCCTTGAGTCTGAGCTGCGCCTTGGCCCACGTTGATGTGGCCGCCTTCCCCTTACCTCCCTGAGGTTCCTTTTTAAGCCTTGTTTCCCTCACAGGATCGTGGGTGGGTCTAGCTGGGCACAGGTGAGGTTGTGCCTTGAAGTCCCCCGCTTATCTTAGCTGTTCTGAGGGCTTGAATTTTACCAGGCGGGACCCAAGGCCAGAAGTCAGTAGGATCAAACCAGGCAGAGAGAGTTATAAATATGAGAGTAACCCTGTAAAGCTGCGATTCGGAGAGCAGCGGCCCAGGTGGAGGCAGTGCCTGGAGGGAGCGGGGTGGGAGAGACAGCGGCTTCGGGGACAGGGGGTTCGATTTTCAAGAATGGCGGTGCTCTCCGAGATTCGGGGCGACTTGGCGCGGACGTGTGTGCCGGCTGGACAGCCATGGTGCGCTTCGTTCCTCTTCCAGGAACCACCTGAAAGATATCCCGGAAGCGATCTCCGAGAGCCAGCACGTGGCCTGTCCCCACCGTGAGTTGGGTGAACTCGGAGTGGGAGGCGCCTGGGGCGACAGCAGGAGCCAACACCACCACAGCAGGCTCTCCACCTGTGGTGACCGCCAGCCTGTCCCTAACCTCCCGTCACCACCCAGCGGGTTATTTCTTCCTCTCAAGACAAGTCTGTGCCCTGGAGGGGGTTCCCAGAGAGGCAGAGACAGAGAGACAGAGATGGGGACGGAGACAGAGACAGAGATGGAGATAGAGAGACAGAGAGATAGAGATGGAGACAGAGATGGAGATAGAGAGACAGAGAGACAGAGAGATAGAGATGGAGACAGAGATGGAGATAGAGAGCCAGGGGAGAAGAGCCAGAGAAGAGAGATAGAGATGGAGACAGAGATGGAGATAGAGAGACAGAGAGACAGAGAGATAGAGATGGAGACAGAGATGGAGATAGAGAGACAGAGAGACAGAGACAGTCATAGATGGAGACAAAGCAGAGACAGAGGCGTTGTTAGTGTATAGAAATGCAACTGATTTTTTGTGTTGATTTTATGTCCTGTAAGTTTGCTGAATTTGTTTATTAGTTCTAACATCTGTGTGTGTGTATGTGTGTGTATGTGTGTGTATGTGTATGTGTATGTGTATGTGTGTGTGTGTGTGTGTGTGTGTGTGATCTTTAGGGTTTTCTCCATGTAAGATCATGTCATCTGTGAACAGAGATAACTGTATCTCTTCCTTTCCAATTTCGGTGCCTTTTCTTTGTTTTTTTCTTTATTTTTTAATTTTGATGTTTTTGCCTAATTGCTCCGGGTGGGACCTCCAGTATCACGGTGAATAGAAGTGGCAAGAATGGGAGCCTCTGTCTTCTGCCCTCAGAGGAAACGCTCTCGGTTTGGACTGAGCTTGTTGTAAGCTGTGGGCTTGTCAGATGTGACCTTCATTATGTTGCCCAATTTCCTTTTATTCCTAGTTCGCTGAGTGTTGGTTTTTTAATCATGAAAGCATGCAGATGCATTTTTTGCATCAATTGAGGTGATTATTCACAAACTAATCTCTGAAATACTCTGCAGCCTCCCACATATTCTGCAAGATTCTTGCTGCCCAGGCATGCTAGTGGCTCCCCATCTTTTTGCTTTTTGGATCCTCTTCATGGGGGTGGGGGGCACAGAGAGGCTGTCACCCCTGCTGTGTAACCACAACACACAGTCCCAGTGGCTGCAGCTGACACCTCCTTCTTAGACTGACTTTTGATTTCCCTCAGTGAAGTCAGAGCACCTTTTAGCGTATGCACCCCAACAGTCTTCTATATCGCTATGGTTCCAGTGCCACAGACCTGGCGAGGACCTGCTGTCCGTCTCCAGAGAAGCCGGCGAGCTGTGCCACGCGTGGGAGGGGGCAGGGGTGGTCTCTGTCCCACGGCGGACGTCCAGTGTGGTCCACACAGAAGCAGAGCTGTGCACGGGCGGGGAACCCGACTGGAGGTGTCAGTGTGTCTTCCTCTCTGTCCTAGTGGGTGGCTGGATCTTCTCCAACCCGGAGGGAGTGTGCTCGGCCGGGAACGCCAATTTCCAGTATGCGCCTCCTCTGCCTCTGTCTGCCCCTCACACCCACCACGGCTGTGAGCGCTACGCTGGCCTCCGCGGGCACCGGCCGGCCCCCTACCCGTCCGCGTACATGCACAGGACCCATTCTCCCTCAGGTGCGTGGCTCTGCTCACGGAACCCCAGGCACCAGGGTGGGGGGGGGGGGGAGGAGAGAGATGGATAAACCGTAAAAGAAGTGTCTGAAGATGAAAGAACCCCTTTCATGGAGCACAGGTAACATCATTGCATGTTGCTATCTTAATGTTTTCTTTTGTATACTAATAGTTGGTTTTAGATAGGACGTTGCTAGCGTTTTGTAATTTTCGTAAGACACCGAGTCCCCTGGTTTGTGATGGGTGTGATGGAGCAGGGCATGGTGCCGGAGCAATTCCAGGCTTCGCCTCAAAAACCAGGCTGGAGGTGCATCTGAGGCAGCCGCTTGCTGCCTTCACGGGGCTTTTCTGCAGTTACAGGGCTCAGTCCTGGGAGCTCGGGGCCCGCCCTGAGGCGTTGCCCGGAAGGTCTCGGGGGCGATCACTCTGCACCCAGGCTTGCGTAGGATTAGTTGAAGGTACACAGAGCCAACCTTGATAATTTTTGGTCTGATTGTTTTTTACCTTGACACTGATGTGTGCTTTTACCCTCACTGACTGCTGCCCTGCCTGCCCTGGCCTGTGTCAACCCCGTGCCTGGCTATTTTTATGAAGGAGGGAACAAGGGAACCGAAGACGGAGTTCTCATTCAGTTATTTATACCAAAAATATCTATCAGGGGCCAATGGGATTCCCGGTTCTGCCCACGAACAAGTCAGACCCTCAAGGAGCTTCCATCCTCAGATGGGGAGACTGACATGAAACCAGACAAACAAGTCAAGTCCGTGGCTGGGAGGTGGAGGAGGAGTTAAGCCTGCAGTGCTGGGACACATGAGCCCCACGTCTGCAGAGGACTTTCCTGGTCACCAGCACCCGTCCCCGTGCCCCTGCCTGCGTCCCGGCGACCTTGACAGCTGCCACAGGAGGGAGAGCGGAGCTTAATGCCTGACACTGAGCAGTGTTCTCACTCACTTCCTGGTTCTTTCCGTGGTCAGCACACGAAATGTGCCCTCAGAGCATATCCCCAGGCCTCTTCCAGGCCATTGGGGTGTAGTGTCTTCCCTGGAGGGGCTCAGGGCTGCACGAATCCACACATTACTCATCACGCTACACAGTGGCAGCACTAAGGCGGTCCTGGCCTGAGCGTCCCCCGGAACCTCTTAGAAGGTGGGCTCTCAGGTTCTCCTTCTGAAAGAGGCTGTGTTTTAACCAGGTCCCGGGTGACTCCGACACACAGGAATGTTCGAGAAGCATTCTGTAAAACACACAGGCCGAGGTGCTGAGGGGAAAGGGGCAGATCTGC